AACCCTTAGAACTGAAGGTAAGAGAGTAGAGGATTGTAACACTTACCCCCCCTCTAAAACCAATTGTCCTGATTAGTAAACATTGGGCTTAGTTAGCAGCTTAGGTATAGGTCAGAACAGTAGGGTTTGGAAATCTGTAAGGTGGAGTTGACACAGAGCACCCAGATGAAGTTGATAGAAGTCTCAGATTGTCTTAATAGTATGAGTGAGATTCTTAGCAGGTTCCTAAGTACATTCTTCAACCAGGTATCCCTTCTAGTAGATAAGGAACTTGAGCTTTCTGTACACTAGCTTAGTATCTACTACATACTCTACTTTGTATTCTAGTTCAGAACTGATGAGTTCTAGTAAAGGTAGTAGGGGTCTTTGTTGTAAAGGAAAACTTAGATTGTAGTACTGAGACAGTAGAACCTTGTTAAACACTAGGTGTATACACTTCCATGTTACTGAAAGTTGGAGTTTGTAGACAGAGGCACCAACCTTCTTTTTAATAACAAAGGGTCCAAAGTGCTTGTTGTCCAACTTCTTTATTGGGTGATCTGTGGTTAGGTTAGTGGCTTTCAGTATAACTTTGTCACCAGGCTGGTAATCCTTAGCTGTAGACTTCTTCTGATCATAGTTCTACTTTATAACCTGTACTACCTTTTCCAAAAGAGCTCATACATCCTCCCTAGTTCTGTGTATCCATTCTACAAAGTCTGTTACAGATTCAGAACTACTGTTCCAGTTCAGAACTGTCCTCTAGTACAGATGTCTCTCATGATTGAGGAAGAATAGGGACTGTCCTGTTATAGAGTGTTACTAGTTATTGTGTACAAATTCTGCCAGAGCTAACTATTCAGACTAATCTGATTACTAATGATTGATGAACATCTGGAGGTAGAGTTCAATCTCCTAATTAACTTGCTCGGTTTAACTGTCAGTCTGTAAGTGATAGATAGTAGAAGGGTTCTCTTGAATTCTGAGAAGCATATACAAGTCCTGTATGAATTTTGACTCAAATTACAGTCTGTAATCATGAATGAGCTTCTGAGGGAGTCTGTACAACTAGAAGACATGATCCTAATAAATGTGTGTCATACCTTCAGAAGTAAGTTCTGTTTAGGTTAGAACCATGTGGACTTGCTTAGAGAATCAGTCAACAATCACACAGATAGTATTGTAACCCTAAGACTTAGGTAGCTTACTAATCAGGTCCACTAAGACTTCTTCCTAAGAGTGATCTAGGATCTGATACAGATGTAAGGGAGCCTGAACCCTTGTCTGGTGAGCCTTAGTCTGTTAGTATGTATTACAACCAGTTACATACTTTAGGATTTCCCTCTGTATTCTAGGCTACTAGTAGTTCTAAGTGATGAGTTCCTACATTTTGTGTCAGCCCAGATGTTCTACAGTCAGATTGTTGTAATAAGCTCAGACAATGTCCTCCTGTAGCTTCTAATCCTTCAGAACATACAGTCAGCCTTCCTAGTAAACCTGTCTATCCTTATCCTCCTCCTAATTCCTTGCCTGCTTCTCTAGCTACTTCACTACAACCTAGTCCTGTGTGTGTCTCAGAGCTTACTGTATATAGGTGACAAAGTCAACATTCTTAGATTCAAGTCAGATCTCTTAGATTGTCTTAGATGCAAAACAGGAATTGTCTAGAAGAACAAGATTTTTGTTATCATTCTCCCCTCTTTCATAACCTACTCATCTTGAGAGTAAATCAGCTTTTGTCATTTGTGTTCTAGGTTTGTGGGTTAGTACAAAGTCAAAGTCCTACAGTTCTAACATCTAGTAGGCTTGACAGTAGTTGAGCTTCTGAGGTGCCTAGAAGTACTAGAGATTAAGGTAATCACTCTAAATCTTAAACTTCTGTACAGTACTAAGGAGATATTAATACTACTCCTCTAGGGAACAGACAATTGTAAGGAGTTCCTTATTATAGATAGAGTAGTTCTATTCTGTTACAGAGAGGGATTCTAATTGGAACACTATCAGACACTACTTTCTGTCAATGAACTAGGACAGTACTACTCTATTTACAAAGTTGGAAGAGTTGGCTTTAACTTAGAACTTGTCTACAACTGTTAGAACTGCTAGTACAGGCTTACTAGTAATAGCCTACTTTAGGGACTTAAATGTAGACTACTACTAATCCTCCTATTACTAAGGAACATCTTTGCTAGTAAGATTGTACAGGGGTCAGACAATAGTACTGAAGCCTCAAATAAAGTGTTAGTAGTAGTTTACAAACTTAAGGAATGCTTGGACTTGTTTTAGGTTCTAAGATTGTGACCAGTTCTGAACTGTAGTTACCTTTGCTGGATCCATACAGACCTCTCCTCTACCAATTATGAAGCCCAGATAATCTACTGACTCCTACACAAAAGAGTACTTTGCTTCTTAGAGGAACAGTTTATTATCTTAGAGCTGTTGTAGAACTGCTCAGATTAGTCAGTAATAGTGCTCAACTGTCTAGGTAAAGATTAGAATGTTATCTAGATACACACTAACATACTCTGAGTTAATCAGATCTGTAAGGATGTGATTCATAAATGACTAGAACATTGTAGACAAGTTAGTTAGTCTGAAGAACATTACAGTCAGTTTGTACAATCTACAATTAGTTTAGAATACAGTCTTCTACTCATCTCTGTCTTAAATCTGAATATTATTGTATCCTTATCAAACATCCAACTTAGTGAAAACCCTGGATGTATGTGTCTTATCAATAAGCTCCTGAATCAGGGGGAGTAAGTACTTGTTTTTAACAGTACCCTTATTAAGACAATAATAATCCTAGACTGGGCAGAGCTTCCTATCTTTCTTTTTGACAAAGAAGAAAGGGGAGGCTATAGAGGACTTTGAGAGTTGGATCCAGCCATTCTAAAGATTTTCCTAAAGGAACTTGTTGAGCACCTCCTACTTGTCTCTATTGAGTAGGTAGACCTTACAATCCTTAGGTTAGAAACCCTCAGTCAATTCAATTGTATAGTCCTAGAGATAGTGTTTAGGAAGCTAGTTGAATTCCTCTTTACTAAAGACTTTAGGGAACTCTTGGACAAAATCT